TAAATCTGCCATTTTTTAGTTATTTTCTCTGTCAAATTATGGAAAATAATGGTTTAGATGACACAACCAAGAGAATGATCATTTTGTGCCCAACTGATTTATTGCTCGGCCAGTATTAGCTAGTTGTTGATTTATTGTTATCAGCATTCTAACAATAACAATAAATTAAGGTAAAGTTTGTCAGAGGGAATTCTTTCCTTCAACTTTCCTGTTGGCAACACGTTTGGAATGCCACAAACAACCCGCTGATCCGAGCAGAGGCGAGATGAGCGCAAACGTGTATATAAATAACTACACATAACAAATGAGATGGAAATCTGTTTCTGTTTCATGAGTCTGTAAAAAAAAAAGCCAAAAAAGTTAAAATATTTTTTTCCTGATCATGTTGATGTCGGTCTTAAATATTGATCAGGCTCTAATTGTATTGATCATTTCTGAAGATCAGTAACCAATAGCCAATAAGCATCAAAACACAATGAATTGGAGGTAACCAGATAAAAATATTTTAACCACATTTTAAATTATTGAAAAACAAGAAATACATAAAAATTCCGATTTTTTTTTTTTAGTATTTTTGTTTTTAAAGTGTTTCCTTTTAAGAGGAGAAATCGTTATGTGATGCGACTCTGAAATTCTCTTTGACAGAGCACAGTTGCAAAAAGATAATACTTTTTTTTTCTCTCCTCCTCACACATACTGTACATTGTGCAGTGAGGACGAGCGGAGACTTGGGCAGCGTGAATAATCCCCATCTGTTGATGGAAAATGTTACGTTTTTCTGTGTCTGTCTCTCAGTCACTCACACACAAACACATCCACGCATGCACACAATTCCCTATGATGCTAAGAAGGTCCCTTGCCAGCCTCGGAAAAATAAATAAATAAATGTTTGGAGCACATGACAAAGTCCTCTGAGGACACTGCAGGTTAAAGTTATGAGAGAAAATGTATTCTTGCTCCTTTGGCAATAAAGTGTGGCATAAACTGCACAAACACACAAGTTAAATCAGCACGTATCTCATTTTGTCCGTTAGTTTCCTTCAGTCTTTTCTCAGCCCAGTCCTGTTTCATCTAAACATAAATGTATAAAATTCTGTGAGCCATTTACACGAGAGGTTGAACTTGAATATATTTAGACTTCCTTGAACATGTAGATGCCTGAGGTTTATCACATCAGAACAAGTCAGACAGAGTGAGAATAGCCACAGTGACAAGCCCGTCATCTGCTGTTTCAATCAGATTCACACTGACATGAAGATTTTGGGTAAAGTTGGAGGACAGAAGGTTAAATGTCCTTCTTCAAGAGACAATTAGGGATCAATAGGAATAACGCGTGCACTTTCACAAGGGCACAAACAAGAAAGGACAAGCTTCTGATTTCTGTCACTTCATTCTGTCATTTTCATCAGTCCACTTAACTTCTAAACATTGCATGCAGCTTTAATGTCTTTTTAAAAAGTGTTTATAAGTACTTGTCAGCAGTTAGCTGTTAAAGTAAGCTCATTTTACTTAAAGTTTGAAGGATACACAGTTTGAAAACCCTCCTAAAAGGTTTTCTCTATCACTGAATAATGCAGAAATATAAAAGCAGGTAGCAATGTGCAAATTGTTATTGAATACTATTATTATTATTATATTATATTATCAGAGAGCTAACTGAACACACTGCTGTGTGTTCAGTTAGCTCTCAACAAACCAACAGATATTTATTCTACTTATAAGGGTGGGCCGGAACTTTGCAGATGCTCATGTTAAGTATGTTGTGTGTCAGTTTTGGGAGTGAAATTATGGAATCGACTTAATGATGAACTGAAGATGTGTTTCTCTTTGTCATTTTTCAGGAAGAATTTAAAAATTTGTATCATTCAAGGTTACGGAAATTTGGTTTGATGAATAACTTTGTGTTGATTTAATTTCTTGATTTATCATTGATTTCTTTTCAAACTGTTATATAACTGATTTATCAATGCTATTTATTTTCTTGGTTAAGGATTTGATTATTCCTATGGGGTAAAGGATATGATCATTTTAAGCCACAAGGTTTCATCCTATTCCTTTTTTGGTTATTGTATTATGGAGTACTTTTATGTAAAATGATAATCTGTGTTGTTGACCGAAAAAAATTTCACTTCACTTCAGATGCTTTAAGAGATGCAGTGCAATACACCAGCATCCGTCCACCCTGCATTTTACCTTCACTTAAATAATTTCTGCTGAAAGCGGTCAAATATCATCATTGTTCTCTGTAACAAGAAGCCAGACTATTTATCCATTTCAAGCGTTTGCCTGCGCTAACACTATGAACACCATAACGAGAGGGTCAAGATTCACATTTCATCAGTCTGTTCTGAACAAAAAGCCATTTATTACCGAAGACACTCTGACATGTGACGGCAGGAAAAGCACAGGTGTAAATAACAAAATGGATAAAATGCGAGTTGGATGGTTTCGTTTCAGCGCCGTGCTGTTGTTAATGTTGGCTCGCTGACACGCTCACATGAGACACAAATCCAACAGAGTCACTGTTAATGTCGTTGTTGACGGTGAAACTTTTTAGACTCATGTCTATGATGAGAATTACAATCTGCTGGACATTCAAGGGTAAAACAGACAACAGTAAAACACAAACACAGTTTATTCACTTAACATACAGTTTGTGTGAATGTACACAAAACCTACAAATCAACTCATCAGATAGATTTAATCACATGTGCAAAAAATCTATTTTCTATTTTCTCAAAAATGATCTTAATAAAAAAACATTAAACTGGTGCTATACACGTAAAAACGATGATATTTCTAAGATCTGATCTAAAATTGTTTGCTTGCATTGTAAAGTAATAACTATTATTCTGTTTGTGCTTTGATGCTGCCAGACAACACTGTAATTATGGAGTCAACAAAACAAACTGGTTTCTATGTCAAACTCCGTCTCTGTCTTTTCACCTCAGTGCTCCTCTTGGGAGCTGCTGTGTGACACGCAGAGGGATGACCCAGTGGGTGGGTGTGTGCATGTGTGTGCAGTTCATTTATGCTTTCATAAATGCACGCACCAGTGTTTGTTTGTGTGCCAACAAAACAATGAAACCCAACACATCTATTCAAATATTGCCGGGAAAGCCCTCTGACGAAACTCGCACGTCCAGCACATCAATCTCATGCAAAAGTGTATAGCCATTGTGTGTTTTTATGTGGCCGATGACAATAGTGGAAGTGGAATCAGCTAACAGCATGGTGCATGGTGTGCATTCAGCATCTGCAAACGCACACATGGCAAAGCAAAGTATAAAAAGACACGAAAAATGAAACCACAAGAGTATCACCTGTTATTGCTGTTTAGCATTAAAAAAATTAAACTCTCGAAAAATAACTAATCAAATTCATTTTTGGGCACTTTGAGCACCACAAAGCAAGTGCCACTTAGTTCTGTTATATTCAAGAGGCTGCAAGCATCTCTACAGTCAACATCTCCCAAACTGAGCAGTATACACAAAACAATCTAAATAACATCAATGGCCACATACAACATATGTTTATTTGATTCTGAAGTGAACTGTACCCCTCAAATACTAGTCAAGCTGTTTTTTAGCATGTGAGGCCCCAAATGATGTGTTCCTTTTGTTTTAAGCAGAGAAAAACAATTCATTTCAACCCAACTCAGGCAGCTCCTGCATCAGAGATGTACAGGAGCCCGCTCTGAATGTTTGCACTGCATGTTCTCCAAATAAACAAAAAACCTACCTAAATACCTAATTTCAGACTTTTCTATGTGCATGGCTTCAATTTAAATTCAAAGCATCAATCTTCCACAATAAAGGTTATAAAAAGCTGCAAAGTGCATGTATGCCCCCTCACATTCATTATTAAAATGGCTTCACATTAGACTTTAAGTAAGACTATGAACTAGGGCTGGGCCATATCATACTGTTCAGGGTAATACCGGTATAATGTTGGGCAACGATAAGAAAATGGAATATCGCGATAGAATATGGGTAAAACGCGCATGCGCAGTGCCTTAGTTTTCATATGCACACGCCGGAAAAAGCATGGCGGCGACGGAGAATGAGAAGGGTGAAAGCGGATCGTTGAATGAAACAGATGAACCAGAATTGGTTTGTATAAATGCTGCAACTTCAGTGGTGTGGAACTGGTTTAGCTTTCGTCCGTCAGATACACAACAAAGCACTATTTTTGGTAGAGCATGCTAGCGGGCCGTCGTTATTACCGTGTTTTTTTGGAAAATACGGCACACTTAAAATCAATCCTTTGATTTTCTTGAAAATCGACAGTGCCCCTCATAATCCCGTGTGCTTTATGTATGAATTCTGGTTGTGTTTACTGACCTCAAAATGATTTCATGTGGTACACGTTGCTTGAAAATCTGTCAAATGTTTCAGTACGACTTTGCTAAGCTACGAAGCCGCACCGCTTGATGGATTGTCGGAGCATTACGGCTATCGTAGGCAGGAGCCTCGCGGAGTGATACGTACTGTGCTTCAACATAATATTACCGTATTGTGTGTGTATAACCTCTTTTTAAGTTTTGTGGATATTATACATGGTTATGCTGAGGATATGTCAACTGGAAATGCCTTTTGGTTAAACTGTCAGCAAGGAATTTGCATTTGCACTGTTAAATTTTTATGTAACTTTAATGCACATAAAAGCTGCTTGTTTAGAAAATACATTGATGGGTTTGTTTGTTTTTTTGCACTAATAAAGTTGTGGAGTTGTAAAGTATTTTGTCTAGTGTCAGTTATATCCTCAGTTATATTCTTATCACAAATTTTCAAATGTATATCGTGATAAATATTTTTGGTCATATCGCCCTGCTCTACTACAAACAACAACAAAAACATCCAAATGTGTAACATGACACCTAACCAAGCCTTTGAAGTCCTGCACTGTCCCACAGTACACCCAGCTGACCACAAACAGGCATACATAAACTGAAAGGGTTAACACACGATTACATGAATAACATTCTTGTTACTACTCACCAGTTCTTGGTTGGTAGAGTTGGAGTCGTCTCCAGGAAAGGGGATGTAGATGGCTAAGGCCACACAGTTGGCAAAAATAGACAGCAGTATAAAGATATCAAAGGGCCTGAAAGGAGGCGGTTAAGGAACACGGTAAGTAAGACCACTAAAAGTATTTTATATATCATACTATAGATTAGGATAACTGTCATTATCCTGTTAACAGTTTTTTGATTTTTT